ACCGTAGTTAGTATGCTCACCATTCAAAATGTGGCAATATCCTCCAGTCTGTCGTCTCTACTGCCCTTGTCAGCCATCAGGGAGCTTCGTGCTTGATTCTTGCGCGGTGACAGTCCTCATCGTTGACGTTCACGCTTCTGTTCAGATATCACAAAGGTTCCGGAGCCCGATTACCACGAATGCATTGGAGGCCATCTACACCTTTGGGCTCTGCGCCGATGCTGCCGTTTGTGGATTCGAGATGGTCCGTGAAGACGGTACCAAAGTCGAAGGAGTCGTGAAGGAAAAAGCGCAAGCAAAGAAAGAATACGATGATGCTGTGAAGCAAGGGTATACTGCTTCGTTGGCTTCAGAGGAAACCAAAGATGGTTTGTCTTCCCAATAGCCGTATCTTCTCTTCGTCTGACCTGACGTGACCTGACGTTATCCAGTTTTCTCAATCAGCGTAGGGAACATTGCTCCTTCAGAAGTCGTGACGATCAACCTTCGATATCTACAAACCTTAAAGGACGACGAAAAGAAGGATCAAGTTCGATTCACCTTCCCTCGCACGTATGCTCAACGATACGGCCCGTACGCTCCGACAACGAATGCACAGATATTCGGGGCCGTTCAACAGCCATTCACCCTTAGCGCTACTGTGCAGCAGCCTGGTGCAATCAAGAGTGTATCCTTACCTTCAGGACATCCGGTGGAACTCGAACTTGGCAAGCCAAAGGGTGTCATGATCGAGGACTCGACTAATGATTCCCAATTCGCCAAGATCTCTCTGAGAGACTCTTCGGGGTACCTTACACAGGATGTGATTATCGTCGTGACCGCGACCGGTCTAGACAATCCTCGCTGCTTCGTCGAATCTCATCCATCTCCAGACGTTGACACTCTCGCTATGGGTCTCACGCTCGTCCCCCGCTTCAAAATTCCCGATCCGAAAAGTGGAATGGAGTACATTTTTCTCGTTGACAGGAGCGGTAGCATGCAAGGAACAAACATTCGACTTGTACGTGAAGCCTTGGTCGTCCTTCTTCGTGGTCTCCCGACAAAGAATACAACCTTCAATGTGTTCTCATTCGGGAGTGGACATTCCAAGTTATGGGATTGTAGCCAAGAATACACTCAAACGAACTTGGATGCTGCTACTCAGCACGTAGAGTGCGTGTTCGTGTCATTTCAGCCGCATGATCGATTGTTGACATTACCATTATAGCTCAATGCAGGCCGACTACGGGGGAACGGAGATAGCCAGCGCTCTTCAATTCGTGTACTCTTCGTTATCAAAGCCGCTCCGTTTACCCGTTTCCGTATTTCTCCTCACCGACGGAGGCGCATGGGATATCCCTACGTGTGTCTACTACACTCGCTCTGCCCTCTCTAATTTCGACACAGATGACAGTTTCGTCCGCGTCTTCGGTGTTGGAATCGGGAGTGGGGCCTCGACAGATACCTGTGACAGTATTGCGAAAGCAGGCAATGGGTTCAGCGTTTACGTCGCTGATAACGAACTCGTTGTCGGGAAGTGTGCACGACTGGTTCGAGCAGCCCGCAGCCCACCTATCCGTGACGTGGAGGTGCAATGGACAGGAGTCGAAACCGTCGAGGCTAAAGCTGGCGATTACTTTGATATGGTTGAGGACGACACTACTACGTTGATAGACGCTGAGGATATGGCTACTCCCGAGTCTTATGAACTTGCTGCACCCGTCTCTCTCTTTGATGATGCAGGTCAGGATGACACCGACGATGTGGGACCTCCTTCCAGACCCAGCGTTACTCTCCCTCCTCCACCCAGGCTTCAGCAGGCGCCACTCAACGTCATAAATCTCTTCCCGGGCACCCGTTCCCAGATGTACGCCATCATCTCTAACAAGCAGACACCCATCCCAAGCTCGATCAAAATCAAGGGCATCGTCGCTACTACTTGTGCTCAAGTCGAGTTGAATGTTCCGGTCGCCAAAATGGCCAAGTCGCAACAGCAAAACCACGCCTTCCTTCACACTCTCGCTGCAAAGGCGCTCATCACCGACCGCGAAAACAAGATTCACGCATTCCCTGAGTCTTTTTCGGCTGCTTTCGCCAAAGACGACGCTTTGAGGGACTTGTATCTCGAGAAAGAAATTGTTCGACTGGGCACAACCTATGGGCTGATCAGCAAACATACGAGTTTCGTTGCCATCGACCATCGTACTAGTAAATTAAACCCAACGCCACCTGTGTCCGCAAGTGAGGCAATTTTTATCCGATATCGTACCTGTCCCAGGATCACCAGACTAACCTCAGATTCCTCGTTACTTAGCAACTTCCGCAACTTTTGAATCAGGATTGCCAACAGGTACTGGCCGACCTTTCGGGTTGGTTACATGTGCCTCCAATTCCCTAACTCCTACCCCTACTTCCCTCTCGCGGCCGCCAGCACCCTTAAGAATGTCACCTCTCGGGAGAGCGTCAATGGGTTCTGTACCTCAGGCTCAACACGCATCAACAGGACCGCCAGTCCAGCTACATTCCGCGCCCTCTGGAACCGGGGTTTTTGGAGCAGGACCAATTCCCCAAGATGGTTTCCCTAATCAGCCGTTTTCATTTAGTCCGAGTTCGTCTGCTACACACTCCGCAAGTTTTGGATCAGCCCCGCATCCCCATTTGCAGTCGGAAGGATTCTCAGGACCACAGATACTCGCAAGGTCCAGGGAGAGCGAGAGAATGCGATCGTCTGCTGCGCCCTCCGTATGCATGACCTCTGCAGTGGGACTGCCGGCTGGTAGTGCTGGAGGGGTTATCAAACCTACCCCCAGTAACATCTCACCGTGTTCAAGACCCTCAAGAACGTCGGTATTCGGGAGTGTGTCGATGGTTCCACAGGCCCATTGCGGATCAGTAGGACCGCTAGATGTTGATAGCATGTCCCGGCTACATTCCGCGTTCTCTAGATCTGGTACTGGACTTTTTGGAGCAGGACTAACTGCCACCAGTGCTTCCTCTGATAAACCGTTTGCATTTAGTCCGAGTCCTTCTGCTGCGCACTCCACAACTTTTGGATCAGCGCCGCATCCGCGCATGCAGCCAATGGGACTCTCAGGACCACAAACAATGTCAACGGGCTCTGTACCTGGTCCAATCATGATGGGTGGTGGTGCCACATCGGGTTTATTCTCGGCCCCACCGCCTCCCGTTTCCAGAGCATTTGCACAACCGATAGCTCATATGCCGATGAAAGCTCGACTGGCACCAATGCATACCGCCTCTTTCCATCGTGGTTTACCACCAGGTTCAAGAAAAGACGTAGAATCAATGTCGGACGGTGCACGACTCGCCGCGATCGCTCGCTTCCAACAATTTGATGGTGGATTCGATTTCTCCGAAGGTCTCTTGCGTCTCTTGCAAGCAAATATATCCACGGGAGACCTGAAGCAGAAGTTCACGGAGAATAATATTGATGAGGGTGTCGCTACTACGGTTCTTGCTTTGGTATGGCTGGAGAAGAGGGGCGGGGACGAATCGTTGGATTTGCAAGAAAAGGCATCGGAGTGGTTGGCGGACCGACTGGATGAGGTTGACGCTTTGAAGGAACAGATTTTGGGTTTGTTCGACGTCCGTCTGTGAAGTGATAGAAAATGTGTTGTAAATGTAATACAGTGTGTAGTGTATACAAACTTCTCAGTTCCTATGTACCACGTTCCTTTCCGTGTACTACTCGCTTCGCGCTCTTCATACCGATACTACTCTGACATAGTAGAATAAGATGTATTGAATTAACAAAGACTTGTGTTCGAGAAGGAGTTGCTGTATGCAAGTATGCGCACAATTGACTTAAGCCATAGCAGGTTCCTTCGATACGACTGCACAACCCTATCGGCGGCTGAGTTATTCTGTGACACCGTCACGGCAAGCCATCCGCATCGGTAGTGGGTTTCGATTGTGGGTCCAGTTTGACGTATCTACGCTCCAGGTACGCAGAGAGTACACTGTTTTCGTCAAGTCCATCTTTCGAAGCCTTCTTGACTAGATGTAGAGAGACGTCCTTGTCGAGAGGCACATATATACCAAAAGCGCCACCAATTGGTCCTAGCCTCGGGTCGACGTGAACAGAAAGAGATTTCTCGGGGCTGACGAATGGAATGCTACTACGATCGAAATTATGCATCTGTTCGACCGACTCTTGGCTTAGAAGGGGAGAATTCGGAGGTTCTTGCAAAAGGATTGTGGGACTAGAGCTGAGAATGCGAGCAGGATCGTAGATACTTGGTAGAGGTAAGATAGGCGAATGAACTGGCGAGTAGACCGAGTACGTTGAATCGCGGTATCGAGATGAAGGAAGATTAGGCGAGGACAAACGCGAGTGTTCGGAGCGGCCAGTGAGCGACGTTGTCGACTGGAAGAAATCTTGACCAAGAATAGGCTTCTTGGAGAGGCAGAATGAATGGGTTGACGACGGACCCCTCGGACGAGAAACTGACCTTTGCTTCTGTCACTGATTCTGAACTTTTCCTATGAAATTTCGCCCACTCGTCGTACCTACGCATTCTGGTTCTATGTCCTCTCCGTCCGAGTCCTTCATCGAGTCCAGCTTGCTCCTTCTTTTCGAGATCTTCTGCAGATACGTTCCTGATTCTAGCGAGCTCTGTAGCGCCTGCTGAGCGATAACAGCTATGCAGGGCGTAGAGTAGAACAGCCGAAATAATCCCAGCTACACAGACCAGGGAGAAATAGGGCCAGAATCCATGAAAAGAGGGAGATTCTTGTTGTCTGTGATTCGAGTTAGGGTGTACAAGGTTGGTTAGAGTGTTGGGAGACATGGTGGTGGTGGTAAGGACGCAGTCGCGTGCGAATGTCTTTGTCTTCAGCGATCGGCTGGCCCACCCGGCCCGGATACAGCCACAACCTTGTCCCAAACTTCGATTAACCTTTAACGTCCACCACAAGCCCGTTCAACATAAAAAAAACGGATCATTCTAGAAATTCAGAGTCTTCTGAGCAGGAAAAAGGACCTGTAGCAGTTCGTATCATGCTAGGAGTGGGGTTCGAACCCACGCGGCTTGCGCCACGAGATGAAAGTTGGAGTCAACTTAAGTCACGCGCCTTAGACCACTCGGCCATCCTAGCTCGTTTTGTTGGATTCCGGAAGCACTCAAGATACGCCAGTGTCTCAGATATGGAGTTTGGTTTCAAGAGAGTCCAATTTGGAGGACAGAATGCTAAAGTTCCTGTACAGTTTCTGTTCCGGACCGATATCAGACTCAAAGTAGTCTCAAAAGATCCTCTTTCTCCGGATGCTAATAGCGGGATATTACTAGTCAAGTCGGAGGGTGCCCTTCGAATTCTAGACGCAAGAGGAAGTAGAACTTAACCTGTGGTGGTCCCATTCCAGAACTGTGGCAGGCCAGGTTTCTGTAGCCTGGTCGACTGACGCCAGTCAGAGTACACACCACGGCGCAGGTACGACCACACGGTTTCGACATCATAGTGTTGATTGGTCGAAAGGTTTGTGGTTGTCAATAGGGTTGTCGTCCTGTTCGAATTCTGCAGGGATGATGAAGCCTCCAGCTAATCCATCGTCCTGGATTGACACATGATGACAGCTGGTGTCCCCTTCAACGTTGGAATATGAATTGTGGTTTAGGCATCCAGAGGCATCCAGTCTTCAAATATCGCTTGTTGGTATGGGCATCTGAGCCACGTAATCTGGCGTCCGTGACTCATGTGCAAGGTGAGCGTATCTATGGTCGAAGACAGTATTGTGGGTCTGGGCGTTCAGAGAAACGTAGCCTTTGCCCCATAAGTCCTCATCGATCGAGATCAGGACGGTTCCTCGAAGTCTCTTTGCATAGCATATAGTCTCCCCCTCTGTCATGACTGCAGCAAAGCTCAACATCGAGATATTAATAGGGTTCGAACCCCACTCTCAGCAACTTCGACCGTTGGAGTGCCATGCCATAACGATAGATAGTACGTACATCGCGAATGACCTTGTATGGACCTTTTCTTCTTCTTCTGCCTCTTTCTACGATCTCGGTGGCGTAATCCCGCTCATAACTTCATATAACCCGTCGACTTGCCTCCTGCTGAGTCGCTCGCTCCAGAACCGCATGATAGGCTCCCATTCCTCTTTTGAAGACGGCATACCAGGTCCTCTCGAGGGCATCTTCTCTTCCTTGATGGACCCGAATGCCTTGTTCAACGCTGTAAGATCACCCGCTGTGAGATGAGGCTCGGCAGGTGCTGGTCTGTACGTAGCGAGCACTGGGGTTGCGCAGGGAGATGAAAGTGTTGGATAAGACAAGAGAGGCCCCGATATTGATACCACGGAGCCTAGTCGACTACCACCACCCTCGGGATTTAGTCGCCAATATTTGACAGCGAACTCTAGAGCGACGGAGCCCCCTTGAGCGAAGCCAAAGAGGTGTATCTTGTCGCTGGTCCAGCCGCACTTCTCGGTGAGGTGAGTTAGGACTTTGGATAGTAAATCGAGAGCGGGGGTTGGGTTTGGTCGATCTATGAGATCACCGAGTTGATCGAAGGAGGTGTACCATTGGTATGCTTCTTCATAAAGGAAGGGGATCCTAAGCATAGGCTTTTCATATCAGATGAAGCGTGGCGTAGTGTGATATTGCTGAGTGGAACTCTCACTTTTCTGGTGCCCGTAGCGCGAGGATGGCTGTTTGTGGCAGCTTCAGCTGTCTTCCGAGCTTGGAGAACGGAATGTGGGTATCTCCTGGAGGCCAAGATTCTTGATCAGTCTTGTGTAGACAACGAGCTCTCAAACGCACCCAGGCCGTGCAGCAGAATGAGCAAATTCTCATCTGTTCCATCATCACTTGGGTAGTAATTGAACTTGGTCGGAATTTGTTCTTTGCCTTCTTTCGGTGCTGGCTTCACTTTAGGAAGAGAGCTCGAGTTTGCTTCGCGCAAGTGCACTTCAGATTCAGCCATTGCCACCGCGATAGATGGTGGAAGAGGTGGTCCAAGAAGGAGACCGGTCCGGCAACCTAAGCGCGTCGAAATTCAACGTCACTTACACTCCTACCACCATCACGACTATGCAGCGTCGGCGCTGCAGAGCCATATTCTATTCCCTCATAACACTATCTCTAGTCTCTCCCTCCCTTGGAATATGGCCATTTGCTCCCAAAAGATTCTCGGGGAACTCGCTGATTGATGCTGGTTCATTAGGACTGAGTGCTGAACGGGCTGTTGCGTTTGGGGATTTCAATGGGGACCAATAGTGCGTTATCTTTCCCTCCCGTTCGTTAGCTTGACTGAAAGCTATTCGCCTTGTAGCTTGGACGTTCTTATGCTAGAAGACGACAGGAGAACGTTATCCGTGTTTCTATGGAATCATGGTTCGTTAACAGCCCTGGGTCCTACGTTTCACGAAACTGAGAAAGATGTGATTGCGACATTATAGACGGATTCAAATACGATAAATCAGGATCTTTCAAGCACACAAACGATGTTTACAATGTCGTGCCAGGCGACTTTCGACGTACAGGAAAGTTGGACCTATTGGTGATGAGCCGCAGTCAGACGAGTGGACCGTTAGATTTGTCGTTGTATCCTGCCTTACCTGAGGGTGGTTTTGGTGAGTCTCCTCGAAAACAAAACTCATCATTACCAGGTCTGACCACATTGGTCTTGCATCCAGACAATGTAATCTCAATACCTTCGTCCTCCTTATCCCAACCGATACCCATCGACCTCAACGGCGACATGAAGATAGACCTATTGGGAATGACGCCCGAATCTCAACGCGGAAGAGCACAATTCCAGGGTTGGGAGAACGTTTGGAATGCCTCACAGGCACGGTCCCCACTTTTCAAGCTGTTAGTCCAAAGCTTTCTCCGCTCCGTCTCAAAGCGACGTGGCCAACGACTCAGGGCTTTTGTGTAGATCTGATGCACCCTTCCACGGAAAGCAATGCACGCTGGCAAATCCTCACAGTAACGCGGTAATAGATCTGAATGGGGACTGTCTCGCAGGTGCGCACCTTCGTTTACGTTGGATTCGAGGCTAACGTGTATCCAGACGTGTTTCTGGTGTGTGATGACGGTCGGGGCGGCAAGTACTTCCAGATATGGATCAACAACAAATCGGATGGATTCACTCTCGCACAAGAACACCCCTTACCAGCCGGAACTCAACAAATATCTCTCGCCGACATGGGTAAGTTGTGGAATCACCAAATAGAGTCCCCCTTTGCCTTCCTGACTTCATCATTCCAGACCGAGACGGTACAATCGACCTCGTATTTCCGACTTGTAGATCTGTTACTTCGTCATCGGGTGTCGGAAATGACTGTTCCATCAACATTGCGTACAATAAACAACTACCTCTATGTTCAGCGGATGCGTTATTAAAAGGCGCGAAGAAGTGTCGGTCACCGGAGGATCTGTGCATCGCAGATCCGGACTTCAAATTCGATTTGAGCTCGGGGAGTGATGTACGTTCATGTTTGTGTTTGCTCTTCGCCTCGACTCTGATGTCTCTCGTTTACTAGCTTTTCGTCTCAATTCCTCTCTCATCCATTCTTCCTAGTTCTCCACCTCCAGGTCTTCTCGTCGAAGATACGACAGTGTCGCCGTCTATTCCGCTCGCGATCAAACTTGGAGACGCGAATCTGGATGGGTTCACGGATATCCTGCTGATAGCAGTTAATCAACGCGGGCAAGTCCCTAAGCTCATCTATTCTGCACCCTGCGGTGGAAACGGCGTCAAGGGGTGCGAAGCGCCGCATGCTAAGAGAGGGTGGCAAGTCGCTATCAAAGGTGTGCAGTCGTTAGAGGCAATCAAGGACGCTAGAGGAGTTTCGTTCTTGGATATGGATGAAGACGTGAGTTTTATCTACCTCTGTGGTGTAGTTTGGGCTGCAGAGCTGATTGTCGGTAGGGGACGAGCGATATAATGGTTCAAAGAACCGGGAAGGAGGGGCAAGGAAATATCATGTTCGTGCAGAACAATTTCTACTACGACGCGTTCTTCTTGAAGGCAATCGGTGCGTAGTCCTCTTATCTTTCGTCTACGTTTTGTTCACGCGTAAACAGTCCTAAACGGTGCTTGCGGTAATGGTCTGTGCTACACTGAAGACGGAGATTCCTTCAACGTACGTTCTGCTCGCCCTCACACGTGATATATTCATCTAATCCGTTGTCTGCCCAGCCACTTGGCGTGAGCTTCACTGGTGCTTCCTACAAATACACCGTTCTCGATACTTCAGGTCGTCGGTCCGCCGCCCAAATAGCACAACTCCCTCAAACATCTTATCAATCCCTCCAGTGTCCATACGCGTTCTTCGGATTAGGTCGCACAAACAACTATATTGAGAACTTATTCGTTGGAGCGACCGTACACCAAGACGAACACTGGATTGACATCGAGGGTGTCATTCCTAACTCGAAGCTTGTGATAAGACCAGGGAATGAGAAGGAGGGTACAGGGTGGAAGAGGGAACTGTTCTTGAGACCAGGAGAGTGGATATCGTGGGTGCTGGTAACGATGGTGGTCGGGATGGCGTTGTTGGCGGTTATTGTGCTTGTGTTGCATTTAAATGAGAAGGTTAGTCGTCTTTGTTCTCGCTTTCCTATTCTTTTCTCCCTTGTTCATCGACAAGAACCGGGCTGACTTTTCCTTTTGTTCTATAGAGGGAAGATGAATTGGAGAGAAGACGAGCGTCACATCATATTAATTTTGACGCATTATGAGTCTACGCTGTTACAGGGAACACTTGTATTGTACATTACCCATTGCTATACCTTCGTCGGTTGGAGAGTTATACCGATATCTTAGAGGAAGGATTGTGACCAAGTGCCGCTGCGCACTGTTGACACTGACGTGAACATTGGAACTGACCACCGAGGCTGTGTTACGGTATCCACTAGCAGCCATGACGATGCTTGAGTCCACAACGAGGTTAATCTTGGATCTCTGGGCACCACAAAAAGCTCAACAGCTTACTTCTCTTACCACAACCACCATCATCCAACCCAAATGTCCTACAACGCCAATGGACACGATGCCTTTCTCCTTCTCAGTATTCCAAACTGTACCCTCCGGACACCCACAAGCGCGCAAACAGGGTCACTCGGGTTAGAATGCGTTACCCTTCCCCC